CACTGCCCGCCCCCTCTGTCCTGCTGCCACCCAGTCTGGGCCCTGGACCATCCCGGCCCCGGCAGCCCTGCTGCAGGGCGATGCCTGAGGAGTCCTGGCTGCCTCCTGTGCTGGATTGTTCAGGCTGCAGTACTGGAGGGCTAGAGCCAAGGACTGTTGAGCTTGCCAGGCACAAGCAGATGGAGCTGGGGATCCCCCTGATGGAGGAGGATAAACATCTCATGCCTCAAGAAGATGCTGTGCCCGGGGGGGGGGGGGGGGGGGGCAAGGGGCGGGGAGGCTCTGAGCAGTTAGCAGTCTCACTGTTCACCTGAGATAATGGCGCACCCCGGCCCCACCCCGAGTGTGCCTGGCTCTGAGCATTAGTGGACCCGGTGGAGGCTGCAAATGCAGGGGCGAGCCTTCCCCACCCCACCTTGAGGGGTACGGGTGGAGAATGACAAGCTATGGCATTATCTCCCCAGAGATTGTGGGCAGGGGGTTGCCATCTTCACAAAGACAGGCAACTAGGGTGCCCATGTCCATTTAGGCCTCTGACCCTCTCCCAACCAGCAGGACCTGCGATCCAGGGACTTGTGACTTTGCAGTGTGCCTTCCCCAGCCAATGCAGCAACCTCTTGCCTCCTCCATTCATCCCCTCTGCACACTGCCAGTCTCAGTTTCCTAAAACCAGACTGTCCATTCAATGACAAAATGTTCAAATACTTGGCAGTATATTACAACTGTAGTTAAGCAGCAAAACAAACCTTGTGCAATTTGCCGTTGGGAAGACGGTCACACAGACCGTTACAAACTGATATGTGAAAGAAGCATGTGTAACATGGGAATCTTGTCTATAGATCAGGGAGGACTTCCTGGAAGGGGCAGCATGTAAGAAGGGATTGGAAGGATCAGCAGGGATACAGAGCGTGGGTAAAAGCCAGGGAGAGAGGCAGCTTGCTCCGGGATCTCCCGGGAAGCCAGTGAGGATGTACCTGTGGCCCAAGGCTGAGAGGAGTGAGGCAGCACCAGAGGTGAGGCAGTGGCAAGAATCTGACTTGTCACATAGACCGGGAGCCAGTGCCTGGTTCTGACCAGGAAGGTGGTATGTCAGGTACTTTTTAAAAGACCACCCTATTATTAGAGAAGGTCGGGAGGCAGCTCTGTGAGGACTATTCGTGAGAGGATGGTGGGAGTGGACAGACTCCAGAGGGATGGTGGGCAAAGTTTGGAGCTTCAGCAGGGACTTGGAAGGACGAAAGAGCAGAGTCATGGCCACGCCTGGTGCAGGAGCAGGGAAGGGGGTGCCCTGAGGGAACCAGAAGGAACCCTGTTCAGGAGGAAGTAGCGTGAATTCTGATAAGGCATGTTGAGTGCTCTGAAGCTGCCAAAGGCGTTGCGTAAGTGGCTGAAACCCAGAGAGGGAAGTGGTTATCTGCAGAGGGCTCCAGCCTGGAGCCGCAGACAAGGAGGGCTTACATAGCAGATATGTCTGGGAGGATGCGTAGCTGAGGAGATGTCCAGGGCCAGTCCAGGGCCGGGGGTGGGCTCAGTACTCAAAGGTCAAGAAGAGGATGCCAGTTGGCCGAGGTGCAGAGAGGGACAAGAGAAGCCAAGGGGAGATGAAGGAGCCAGCAGGCCCCTGCGTCCCAGCAGACACGGAGGGAGATTTGAGTCAGCGGGGTTGTTCGCCACAAGGAGCGGTCGCTGATGACTTGAGCAAGACCTAAGTATGGCAGAGTCGGATTCCAGATTGCCACGGCTAGAGGAGGACGTTGTAGGGGATGCAGAAAACTGCAGGGTTGCAGGGAAACCAAGTGAGGAAGGTGACTAGTGCCCAGGAAAGAAGAGGACTTTTAAATTAAGACTAGAAGCTTGAGCAAATTTGGCAAAGGAAAGGACATTGACCTTTTTCCTGTCCCAGAAGGAGAGGAAGATGGTCAGGGTGTGCCGCTGGAAATACTGGAAAGTGCTCTGAAAGGAGCCAGAGCAGAGGAGATGGTCCTGGAGAGACTGCAGAAGAGGGGGGCTCTGGGGCGATGGTGTATGTTTAACCCCAGGGCAGGGTAGGTTGGGTGTAATAGCTCCTATTCATGTGTGCTGAAATCTGAGGTGTCCCCTCGCTAGGGCCCGCTCCCAGGCCACCAAGCTTACTTCCTGGATACAGGGGTAGGGGACTTGAACTGATTTTCACCTGCTGGTCCAGGTTGACTTGGCTCAGGATGCAAGGATGCCATGCCCTAGGTCACAGGAGGGGCCAGGAAGCGGTATAACACAAGTGTTGCAGGTGTGACAGGCAGGAGTTGAGGGGCAAGGTTCAGCTGATGGGACCCTGCAGTTTTGTTTTTTTTTTTATTTTTAAGATTTATTTATTTATGCATATAGAGCTGAGGTACGGGCTAGAGTAGAGGGGTGGTGAGAGGGTTCACCAGACAGAGTGGGGAGCAGAACAGGCTGACTGACAAAGTACACTGCTGAGGGGAGCAGTGAGCTGGTCAGGAGAGGTCTGCCATGCCATGTGGGTCACCTCCGGGGCCCAGGATTGAACTCGTGCTAAAGTGGCTTTAGCTTCTTAGTGCTGCCTTTACCCGCTGTGCCACCAGGGAGGGTCCGCCCTGCAGTTTCTTCCACCTGGTAGTGTTCCCGCCCCACTTTTCCTGACTCCCCTCCCCCTTACTTGGCCTAGGCTGCTTGGTGCTTCATTGCCTCCTGCTCTGTGCTGGCCACTGACTCATCACAGATGAGCAAGACAATTCTCACCTTCAAGAAGCTCACAGACTGCCTGGGCAACCTGCGCAGGACTCCATTGGTGTCCAGATATTGGTGGATATTGCCCCCAGCTGCCCATGAGGCCCCCAGCTGCCCATGAGGGAAGGGGCTCGGTGTTTGCTTGAGCACTTGCAGGATAGAAGGGACAGAGATCAAGGGTACTCGCTGCCTGGGCAAAGGCGGTGAAGTGTGACTGGTGAGGTGTGACGACCTATTGAGGTGCTTAGGTGTGGTAGAGCTGAGGTGCCCAGGGTGTGGCTTGGGAGTTAGCAAGGCTGGAGAGGAAGCAGGGCCTAAGGCCCAGGAAGAATTTACCTTCACTCAAGGAGAGGCTTAGGACAGGGGAGGAATATGGTCAAATTCAAGAAAGATCATTCTAGCCACAATTCGGGCCTGGTTGGTGTCATCCAAATCACAGACAGGGTGGCTGCTGTGGGCCAAGCAGGAGGGAAATGCTAGTGGCTTGCGTAGGAAGCTTGGAGGAGGTGAAGGAGAGAAAACTGCTGAGCTGAGAGCGCTGTGCTAGGTTCTCTTCTGAGTACAAGGGACGTGTGATCTCACCCAGGGCCAGATACACGCTGCTGATAGGAGAGATTGAAGAATCAGATAACCCACTGTGAGCTTGCTGGCAGCCGCCAAGGAGGCAGAGGAAGGGATCTGGGGATTCCAGTTGTAGGTTTTAAAAAGTGGGAGGTACTGGGCCCTCCCTGGTGGCACAGTGGGTTAAAGCACAGCACCAAGAAGCTAAAGCCACTTAAGCATGAGTTCGATCCCCGCCCCGGAGGTGACCCAAATGGCGCGGCAGACCTCTCCTGACCCGCACACTGCTCCCCTCAGCAGTGTACTTCATGGATCTGCCTGTCCCGCTCCCCACTCTGTCTCTGGTGAAGCCTCTCACCGCCCCTGTACCTCTGACCTGTACCCCAGTTCTGTATGCACAAATAAATCTTTGAAAAAAAAAAAGCAGGAGGTACTGTCCCTGAACCCCAAGTGAAGAGTTTGGGACATGCTGTCTGGGGACCCTTGAACAGAATTGTCCCCTGTAGAGTTGTCCCCTGCAGCTGGGGGTTGGGGGGGTGAGGGAAAGAAGCAGCTGAAAAAGAAATTGGGAGCTGTGCATGTAAACGGGGATGTGCCAGTTGGACTACCCACACAGAGGAGTGAGGGGAGATTGCGCCCCAGCAACCCAGCGTCAGGGGTTGGTAGGGAGAGCCGTGGCAGAGGGACAGCCAGGGGGCAGGGGGGAAGCAGGGGTCCCAGGAGTGGGGCAGGGTGGCCCTGGGGTCGAGCAGGCAGGGGCAGGGTGGCCACAGCACAGTTGGTGCAGAGGACAAGGGTCCCTGTCAGGTCTGCCGCAGGCCACGCTGGCAGGCTGGGGGAGGGGCAGCAGGCTGGGCAGGGGCCCACTTTTCCACAGCTTGTCTGTGAAGGGACCTCTGGGAGAATGGGTGGAGGGGGCTGTGGGATTAGTGTTGAGAAATGAAGACTTTCAGCACGTCCTAAATTTTTCCATTTCCAACCTTGATGTTAATTAATTCGTAGTGCTCTGGTAACTTAATCCAACTGGGGATTTACAAGCATAGTAAAACTTCAGTCATCCAGAATTCTTGGCAAAGGAACTACTCTGGGACACCAGCATTTATTTGGATGAAAATATTTGAAATACAGGGTTATCTTACTTTATTATGGAACATATAAAACACGAAAGTAGGAGAAGATAATGAATCCCTGTTTTCACCATCCAACTCTAAGCCAGTCCCGAACCATCTACACCCAATCCCCCGAACTCTGGGATTGTGGAAGCAAATTCTAGGCATTGTACCAACTCCTTCATAAAACTTCAGTTTGTTTCTCCAAGAGAAAACATAACCGCAGCACCATTATTGCTCCTAAAAATGTTAATAATTCCTTAATTTGAACAAATGTGCATTGTTCAAATTTCCCCAATTGCCTCACTTTCCCCCTACTTGGCTGGTTAAAATTTAGCCCCATCCAAGGTTCACACTGCACTGATGTGTGCTGTCTCTTAGGACTCCCATTCCTTTTCTCATGTGTTTGTGGAGAAACATGTTGCTTGGAGGCAGGGGTGTTTGGGAATTAGGAAAGCGCGGAGCACCCCAGGAGCATGCCAGGGAAGGCTGGGTGGGTGACAGCCAGACAGCCCATCTGCAGATGGACCTGTGTCTTCCAGGAAGGGGGCAGGATGCAGAGGCCCGTGTGGAGCAGGGAGGAGAGGCAGCTGCTGGCCCGCCGCCCCAGGGAAGGAGGAAGGAGGGTGGCCGTCTGCAGAGCTCAGGTTCTAGCTGGTGGTGAGCGGGGGTGGGGCCTGAGGTCAGGCTTAGAAAGAACAGGATGTCTGTATTGGGGAGGAAGGCAGAAGACAGTGCCAAAGACCTGCTCCCGGCTGGGCCCCAGCTCCTCCCCACCTGCCCAGTCCCCAGAGCCCCTCCCTGGCTTCCCAGCTACAGATCCACTGGGGCTGGGCTCCAGATCTCTTCACCATGCCACCAGTGGTCAGTGGCGCCGATCGCTTGCTCTGCCTTCTCCTCCTGCTCCTGGCCCCCCACAACTCTGAGGGGGACCATCCTCCTCAGCGAAGGTTCGAATACAAGTTCAGTTTCAAAGGACCAAGGCTGGCATTGCCTGGGGCTGGAATACCTTTCTGGAGCCATCACGGAGGTGAGGGATGGGATGGGGACCGCCATACCCAGGGGTCTGGAGAGGCATGGCCACCTCTGGGTGGCTACAATGTGGGGAGTGGGCCTGCCAGTGCCTGCATCTGCCCAAGATGGCCCCAAGCCTGACAGGCAGTACCAGAGATCCCAAAGCCCTTCCCAGACATGTCTCCCAATCCACACGCCCCCTCCCCCCACCCACATGCACACACAAACATATCCCCATCCACCAGCCTCAGTTTCTCCTCTCTGCCTCTCTTCTCTGCTCTGGGACTTCTCTCTTCTCCTTTTGGCTCTACTTGCCCTCCCCCACCCC